TTTGGGGGGAAGTGCCCTTGTGGGAACACCAGTCATGGGGTGAGACTCACGGAATGGGTCCTTCGAAGTTTTATTTCTACAGATATTTCTCCACAGATGAGCTAATTCCTGACGGAACTGTAATAAACCTACTCAAATAGCAATTCGATGAGGACTTTGTTATTCCTGCTCCACGTTCTTTCTTTCGTTCAGCTGTTTCGTTCCTAGCGTGGAAGCATCTTATTTGTAAGAAGCTCAGTTCAGCCGCAGAAGAAGGCTGTGCCTCTCCCGCGCGCGCCGAGAGGGCGGCGGAAGCAGCGCGGACAGCAGGCCGTCTGAACTCTTCATGTGCCACATTCACAGTATTAATAACTGCGCTTCCGCGGTTGTCACATCGAGTGAAAGATCTTCATCGCCGGCTGTCTTCGGGGGCCGCGCCGAGACGGGATGCATGCGTTTAATAAATTGTGGTCTCAAGTAGTCGTTTTTGTAAATAATTAGTTTCGGTGAAAGAATAAGTTAGCATATTGTATGCATCTAATGTTGCAAATGTACACACAGCAAACTTTGCTATTAATCAACAGCCAAGCACCGCGAGTGGGGTCTCATACATAATGAATTGTGCTTAAGCCTCATGGGTTTCTTGATAGAAAAATAAAAGAAAACACAAGTGTGGTAAGCTTTTGAATAAAATTTAACTAGATTGCTCTGCATCCTGTAATTGTTTTGCAATCATGAGGGACCTGATAATTCATCTATAGTTTTGGGGTGTTTTTATCTTCATCTGTCAAATAGGAGAGATTTTTAATGATATGTTAAAGCGTTGATAAAATAGTCTTCCTTTCAATAGTTTCAACATTTAGGGAGAAAGAAAATAGGCTTTTTTAAGGCCCTCTCGTCTGCCAAGCGTACTATTTAAATCGTCTCTTAAAAACGTTTTATTATTGCTGATGTATTTTTAACAGTCAATTATTTTTAAAAGGAAAATATGCCATTCTTATGACATGTGCCTTACACGGGGAGGAGTTGAAAATTTACAGAAAAATTTCTCCGTGCTTCTGGGGGTGTTTTAAACACGACAGTAAATTCCCCCGTGCTCTTGTTTACGTTCTGACGTCACCCTGAGGCCCCAGCATGAAGGGCCGAGGGTGTCCATTGAAAACTGAGATCGCGTTTAAGCAGCAAACCTGCGACCACCCGGAAAGTGGGTAGTGGAGGCCCAGATACATTCAAGGCTGCTTCCTCCTCCCTTTGCCATCGACCTTGACACGGCAGCCCAGGGGGCCCCTGCGGGGTCGGAGACGGAGGCTGGTTCTGGGGGGGCAAGAGACGGCGCTCACCAGGCAGGGGGCCGTGTTTCTGTCCTCTCGGAGGTCGGGCGTCCTCCCCACGCCACGCCGCGGGCCAGCAGCCCCAGAGGGCGTGTCCACTCAGCGGGGTCCGCCCAGAATGCGTCCCGCGTGAAGGGGCCGCGCCTGAAGTGCCGCGTGGCCAGGGCTCGGGGGCCCCCCTGGCACGGGATGTGCACGTGGGGGCCCACGGGATTCCGTGCAGACCGGCCCCCCAGCCTCACCGAAGGGCCGTCCCGCCAGCTCCCTGCCTGCCCGATTCCGGGGCAACTCAGAAGAATGCGGGTCCTTGGGACTTTCTGGGCCAGCCTCCAGCGTCACCAGCTAACATCCCCAAACTGTGAGGCTCAGCCCCACCCTGAGGGGTTGGAGGTCGGAGGTCAGAGGTCGGAGGAGCGCCGGGTCAAACGGGAGGCACTGGGGCTCACGCACTCTCCCTGGGAGCGCTGCCCGGCGCCACCCAGACTGGAGGGAGCACTTAGGGCCTGGGCCTGTTTTCTTCCGTCACGTGGGACTTGGGCCAAGTTCGTGCCGTTCTCACGTCTTTGGGGAGTAGGATTCTCTCAGAAATGAGGACTTGGCGGTTCTTTGATGCCAGTGAGGTCTTGCGGCACCCACGTCTCCTGCCACGTTAGCTGAGGTCTAAAGCACTGAGCGCGTGGGGCGTGGCAGGCCCACGTCAGGGCCACGCACACCGCACATCGGTGGCCGCCACGCCTGCGTCCCCTGTGGCGGAGAGCCCGGCCGGCCTCCTGACCCTGCCGCACCCCCCCGGGAGGGCCGACGGGAGCCGGCACAGCTCCCCCCTGCGGCGTGTGCCTCTGTCCCCGGGGCCACCCGTGTAAGTGTGCTGCAGCCGCCGGCCCCCGCGTCCCCGGGTGCGTGGCGGCCTCCCTCCGTCCACGTCGGCGTCCTCAGACGCTGCCGGCAGGGAGGGAGGTTCCCCGTGACGACCGTCGGTGCTGGGCAGTCGCGCGTCCCCCGTTAGCACGTCCAGGGCGGGTGTCGCCAGCCTCGCTGCAGACAGTTCAGAGGTCGCTTCGGGGTGAGAAACAGGTTTGCTTCAGAGCGAACCCCACACCGGTTCTGCGCCGGGACACTCTTCCTGCCAGCCCGGGAAGGGACGGGTCAGGGCCGCCCCTAACGGGTCGCAGCTCCAGGGGCACCTTGCACAGGCTCTCGGACCCACGGACGTTCCGGAAGCTTCCCCCGCAGGCAGTGTACCGCGGCCGTCTCTTCTCACGGAGCCCCCGGGGTGGCCAGCAGCTGCGTATTTCTCGAAGCCCCTGAACCGAACCACGTGTGACCTCGCGGTCGCTGTGCTGGGGCACCTGGGGTCGCCGTCGGCCCAAGTCGGAAGGCTCAGCCGAGCTGGGTCCCCTCTCCTGCCACTAGTGGGGGGGGGTGCAGACGGCCGGCGTCACGACGTGCGCCCCCGGGACGGGCAGCTGGACCCGGAAGCCCCCTCCCTGCTCTGTCCCACTGGACGGGACCGCCGCCGCGCGACCCTGGCTGCAGCGCCAGCCCTCGGGCTGCATGCGTGGCGGTGCCCAGGTGTCTGTCCCCCGGGGTCGGGCGCCTCCCTGCGCACAGCCGGGTCGGCGTTCGCGTGCCCGCAGTGGGGGAGTTGCTCAGACTTGGGACGTGAATGAGTGTGGGCCCCGGAGCCGTGACGGTGGGGGTCTCCGGTCCCTCGGGTGTGTGGGGGGTTGCGGGGGGCCTGGTGGGTGTCCTCCTCCACCGTGAGAGGGGCCGTCGGTGGCGCCCGGAGACGGTCACACCGAGGCTCTCTCAGGGACGAGCCGGGCAGGGTTGCAGGAGAGGGCAGGGCAGGGCAGGGAATGAATCCCATTTGATCGTAGGAATGGAAATGTGTCATGGCTCTAGAAACCTGCTTTCATGTGTGTGTGTGATGCCACTCGTTTCAAATGTAGCAGCATCGTTAAATCCCGGCTTCGGAATCAAAGCGCTTTAATTGCGTTTCGCCCGTGAACAGCCGCCCAGCGCCGACGGAGAAAGAGTTAAAAGGAGAGCCGCAGAGTAAATCAGAGGCTGGGGTCTTTAGCACAAGCATAAAAAATCGATTTAAGATGAATTTTACTACTACAGAAATTCTTCAGGCGCCCTGTTCGGGGTGGGAACCTCGGGGAGCCCAGCTCACGCCTCACGTCCCGAGCAGCAGCGGAGGCCGAGGCCCCGGCGTGGGCAGGGGGCAGGGGCCTGGGGTGCCCGAGCGTCCGGCCCGTGTCACCGGGGACGTGCGAGTGGGGAGGGGCGGGTGAGGACAGGGCGTGCGCGACGGGGGAAGGCGGCCTGCGGGTCTCGGCCTCGCCCACCTGCCCTCGGGTCGCTGGCCAGTGGGGGGTGGGGGCGGTGTGAGGCTTCGGGAAGAGCCGCTTGTACCTGCGTTTCGGTGGCTCTTCCGCCCTGGCCTCGGGAGCCGTGGTGTCCAGAGGGAGATGGGAGAGACTCTGCCGCCAGGACTGGGAAGCCCCAGGAAGCGTGCCCGGCGTCCAGGGCCCGGCAGGGTGGGAGAGCAGGGCCCCCGGGAGGGGTCCGACTGGTTTCCTCGGCCAGCGGAGCAGCGCCCCCAGAGAGTCAGGCCCTGCCAAGGGGCCAGGGCCTCGAGGGGCAGCTGCAGGGTCCAGGGACAGGAGAGTCACCGCCCGGCGGGATGAGACAGAGCCATCTGACTTGAGTCTCAAACACGCTGGGTTGAAACAAGCAAATGAAAGTGAGCTTCAGGAGGTAAAGGGGAGACCGGCAGCCCTGACAAACAGCAGGACTCGGAAAAGGAGCAGATGGCACAGAGCGCTGCCCTGACGTCCCACACCGGACGGGCACCGTCGAGTGTGGGGAAGAGCAGACCGAGCGAGGGCGCAGCCGCAAGCATGCGGTCAGGAGCTCGCGAGCGCCGCTCTGTTGGCCGGGCAGGGGAGGGCAGCGCTGCAGTTCCTTGACCAGGGTTTCGGGGAAGAGTGTTCCTGGGGAAAGGCTCTGGTCACGCGCTCTCGGCGATTCGACAGGTGACAGGAGACACAGACGTGCACCTGTGCGTCCCGGGAAGGGGTAGGGACGCTGCCCCGAGAGTCACCCTGTGGCTGCCCGCCTCTGGCTGGGCGACAGACACGCAGAGCCCCGGAGAGAAGCGCCGCGCCCCAGGATGCCCCTCCTGGGGACCGCCCCTTGTTTTCAAGGACGCCATGTTTCTTTTGTGGGGAAAAAAAACCCTCACCCGAGGGGGTATTCATTGATTTTGGAGGGAGAGCATGTGAGAGACAGGAAGACATCGATTGGTTGTGCCCAGTACACATCCCAACTGGGGACCAACCCACCACCTGGGTATGTTCCCTGACTGGAGATCGAACCTGCGACTTTGGGGCGTAGGGACAACACTCCAACCAACCGAGCCGCCCGGCCGGGGCAGCATGTGGTGTCTCTGAGAGCTAAAGGTGGACGCACGGGGCGGGGGGGGGATGGCTCTGGGGCGTCTCAGCCTCCGCCCTCTCCCGGCCACCGTCTGCCTGTGGCACAGCGCTCGGAGACGCGCCCGCCCATGGGTGGCTGCAGGTGCCCCCCCTTGTTCGTGCACTGCTGTTTTCGGGTTGCCTTGCAGATGTGTGGGCCGGGGTCCCCAGGTTTATTATTAATCTCCTGTTGTCGCTTCCACAGCCCCACCGAGGCCCCCGCTGCTCCTGAGCCGCCCGGCAGCCCCGCGGCAACGGCCGAGCCCCTGGCGCAGTGCGAGGCCTGGCTGCACGCCTACTTCCAGCGGCCCGAGGCCCTCCAGGAGCTTCCCGTGCCTGCCCTGCACCACCCCATCTTCCTGCGAGGTCAGTGACCCCCCGCCCCCCGCTCGGTGTGCCCTTCAGGGCGCGTGTCTCATAGCACCGCTCGCCTTACTGACCGTACCGACCGACTGGGCATTCTCCAACCATCCAGACAGAGACGGTGTGTGGCCGCGCCGTGGGACGGGAGCATGCAGTCCCCACCGTGCCGAATGGCTGCGTTGGTCTGGGCGTGCGGGCGCCTCAGCCTCGGCACAGGCGGGGAGACGCTGCAGGCAGACCCGCTCGGGCTCTCGCCGGGGAGGTCTGAGCAGGAGCACCGCTGAGCGCTGTGCACTTTCCAGTCGGCCCCTGGGGGGTGGGGGGGGGGGGCTGCCCCGCCTGCTGGCCGGCCGTGCAGACGGGAGGCTTGCATGTGGGCCGCTGGCCGCGTCCTCGAACCCGGCGCTGGCCATCCCGGGGGGGGGGGGGTGCGGCGCGGAGGGGGTGGCAGCGACGGGTCTTGGGTCTTCTCAGACAGGCTCCCACGGAGCTGCCCGGGCGTCCCCCGGCGAGATGCTCTGCTGTTCGGGGCGGGGCGACCCCGCGGGGGCCCGGGGACTTTCCCGGCCATTCCTGTCAAGCGGCTGTTTGGGTCCTTCCTCACGCTTTCCGGAGGTGTATTCTGTGCGGTGGCTTTTATCGTCGTTTTAATATAAATGAGCATTTCTGTACAGGTTTTGTGTGTGTGTGTATACATATATGAACACATACCTACATGTACCTAAAGAATGCATACACGCATGTACTTCAAGAAGAAAATCACCCTGAAGTCGTGGGTAAGTTTAAAGTGAACTCGAACTTAAAAATGGAATTTACTGAGTAAGTCCAATGCTAGTCTAATCACCGCTGTGATTTGCAGCGCAGACAAAGCGGCAAAGGGAGCCCAGTTTTCGGGGGGCGGCGGGCAGAGGGACCCCGAGGAGCCGAGCCGACTGAGGGCTGAGGGGGACAGAGGAGGAGCCCCGCCCGTTGCTGCGGCAGCAGATGCGTGTCTGCGGGCCCCTGGCGTCTCCCTGGGGCTTCAGGAGAGCGGGCCGCGGCACCCGGGCCGGCTGTCACACTCCGAGTGTGCAGACGCCTCCCCGTGGTCCCAAGCCCCCCGCCCACCGGCCCCTCCGAGCCGGCGCGGCTGTGCAGGCTGCAGCAGTTGGCCGGGCGGGCGGGCGGGCGGGCGGCCAGCCACTGACCCGGGCCTCTCTGCTCTTACTGCCAGCCCGGGGTGGGGGCGTGCCCAGCACCCTCCAAGCCCCTCCTGGGGGCCCCTCCCCTGGGGCGCCGGAAGACCAGCCCCAGGCCACCGGCCTGTCCAGGTCCACCTGCAGGAGGACGCAGCTTCCTGCGGCGCATCAGCCCTGACGCTCGTCCCTGCCCCGGAGGAGGGGCGCTCCTGCCATCGACCCTCTCGGGGCTGCCCGGCCCCCGTCCACCCTGGACCCTCACTGCCCCCAGCAGCCCCCAGGGGGTCGGAGTGCTCGGGCTCAGAGCTGCGCACCCCGGGTCGAGGCTGCCCGAGCGGAGAGGACACGGCGTCCGCCGGGCGGCTGCTGGGTCTTTCCGGCACTGCAGCCGCGGCCCCGCTGGCCCTGGCCCTGGCCTCGTCCGCGGGAGGCTGGCCAGGCCGGGTCGGAAACCGCCGGTGCCCGGGACCGCTCTCTCTCCGGCCCGACTGGCAGCCGCGCGCTGGCACGTTGGTGGGTTTCCCGGGCCAAAGCGCCTGAGGTGCGGACGGTGACTCGGCCGTTGTTGCGCGGCTTCCCCCGCGGCCTCCCGCCCGGCCACTGGCACGAGCGCTCGTGCTCTCCGTACCCGGCAGCCGCGTCTTGGACGAGGGCACAGTCGTTAAAGTCTCAGCTGTGATTCGTTCAGGCAAACGGCGTCTGCGAGTTCCTGCTGTATCTGTCTCAGTCCCCTCGCCTGGGGGACATGCGTGTCAGAATGTTCTGCACAGCGTGTTCGTGACATCATGCCTACGGTTTCTCCTGTTCTCGCCCTCCTCCCCAGACACATCACGATCTCAGGGAAAAGCATACATGTGCACCCGTGTGTGTGTGTGTGTGTGTGTGTGCGCGCACATGTGCCCGGTTTTGAGAATTTCTCTCCCGAGAAACTTACCAGAGAGTGGACGCAGCTCCCGTGGGTGCGTCGCCGAGTGCTGCACCCTGCGCTGCGCTCACCGTTCTCAGCGAAGCGTTGTGTGTGGGACACGTGGTCGTGCGCGCTGACGGCGTTTTGCCACCGCCCTGAAGTTCTAGGTGCCGTGTGCCCGTGTGCCCGATCGGGAGCTTGGCCCGCAGCCAGCGGAGAAGGCGGGGCAGCCGGCGTGGGGCCCGTGGTTCTGACCCGGGGAAGGCGAGGGCACATGGGCCGCACCCCAGCCCCTCTGCGGTCAGGCCGCACAGTCGGCTCCGGACGCCGACCGGAGGACGGGAGGAGCCTTGCCCGGGCGCCGCTCGGCCAGCGTGACCCAGGGGCGAGTGTCGGCGCAGCTGACCAGGACCTGCAGAAGGCGACCAGGCACTCTGGGCCAGAAACGTGTTTTCCTTCGCAGTCGCTGGATGGATGCGGCTCTGGGTGCTTCTGGAGGCCGGGGAGCGCGGCTGCGGCCAGCAGAGGGGAAGAGGTCGCTCCCAGGTCTGGGTCAGACCCGTCCTCTGATTGGCTGTGGGCCCGTCCCGGGGGTGCAAGGGTGGCTTCTGACCGTTCACATAACCGCTCCGTCGCCTTGCACTTCCCCAGGGGCCGGTCCTTTCACACACCCGCCCCCCACCCGCCCCCGGCAGCGGACCTGAGCCGGCTCCTGGGACACTGGCCTCGGCTGGACAGAACCGCAGCTGGACAGAACCGCAGCTGGACAGAACCCCAGCTGGACAGAACCCCGGCCCCGAGAAAACGCCTGGTGTCCCGCGCAGAGCCCTCTGACTGACCGGCAATCGCCAAGGCCTCCTGGGAAGCCCGGCTCAGGGGGAGGTTCGTGCCAAATCTAAGGGTGGTTCCATCCCACGTGCCCTGAGGCTTCCATGAAGTAGGAAAAAAAAAAAAAAAGAACCCAAGGACGCCTTCACCGGAGGCCCCGGGTCCCACACGCCGCCAAGCCGGCAGAGCTCGGGCGCCGCACCACGCAGACCGTGAAGATGGTGGCGCTTCCCCCCCCGCAGGGCAGAGCGGGCGTCTGCTGCAGACCGACCGACGGCACCTCCAGCTGCTCGGGGAAACACTCGTACCGCGTGCACGGGCTCCGCCGCTGGCACGGCGACCGACCAGCACGCCAGGAGGGTGTGCACCGAAAATGAAACTCGCCTCCTCCCCATGTGCACGTGCGGCGCGACCCTCTGCCGGGCCTGCGTCTCGGGCGTGGGCTCGTCCCACCTCGGCACGGGAGCGGGGACCGTGTTCTGCCCGGGAGGAAGTAGAAATCGTCACGTCCACGACCCTCCCTGGAAACGGGCTTTGAAACACAAGGGCATCCTGTCCGGTCTGTATTTTAACGGGAAAACACACTTCTCACTTAAATGTGCTTTAAAGGTGTTTATCCCCACTGCAGCACCAGACAGGCCTGCCCGCTTCCACAGAGAGCGTTCCACACCCTCGCTGTCTGTCGGAGCGCCGGGCACTCACGATGCAGGGGCCCGGCTGGGGCCTCCCGACCCCGCCCTCGCCGTGAGGAGCAGGTCCTCTCTGCCGCCTGGTCCGCAGGGAGCATGCTGCAGTGAGAGTCACGTGGAATTCAGCTCAAAGTTGTCAACACGTCAAATACGTAAATATCGATGTAAAAGTAATGGCAGTAGTGCTGTGAAACTGTCTCCAGGAACTAAAAGTGTAAAAACTGTTGAAATGCTGTGCCCCAGAATGTCTACCTGCACCCCACTGTTCAGACCGGCTCAGAACACCTTACGAGCCCGCGTCCCCATGGAAGGCCCAGTTTCGCTGGTTGGGATGGAGACACCGCACGCCTGGAGGGGGCGTGAGGCCGCGAGTGAGTCCCCCGGCCACTCAGCTCGCAGGGCACTGGGCGACGCGTCAATGCCAATAGCTCACTTCTTCTGAAGGAGTGAACCGGAGCGTGCGGCAGGGGAAAAGAAGTCTTGTTTTAACCCTTACATCGGGGGTGTCACACTCATTGTCACCGGGGGCCGCGCGGAACCTGAGGACTGTGTGTGCGCAACTGCTCCGCACCAGTTAAGCGAGAGCCGCCCGGGAGAAACAAGGTGGAGGGCCGGACTCCGCCCGCGGGCCTCGCGTCTGCCACCTGGGCCTTGAACACACCGCTCACGCACGCGAGTGTAAACCCGGCTGTGCGCTGCCCTCCCAGGGGCTGAAGCACGTACCGATGGTGTGTTGGCAGTGCGCCGGGAACAGTGTTGCTGGTGGGCACGGCCCCTCAGCCAGCATAAATATAGACGGCGTCTCCGTTTCCATGGCGACTACTTTTCCTTTTCCTGGGCATCGTTGTTTGTTGCGGCACGAAATGCACCGCACGCACGGAGGAGCGCCCCTTCCCGGGCCTTCTGTGCGTTCACTCGCCGTGTCTGCTCTCGGGGACGCTCGTGGCTCCCCAGCGGGGCTGCCCCAGCGCCCAGTGCGGCTCTCCCAGCCCTGCAGCCCCCGGTCGGTCCGGCGGTCTGCCGGAGAGAGACAGCGATGGAGCCCAGACAGGGCTCCCGGCTGGGCCCCCACGTCTACTCTTCTTAGGAAACCTGCATCCCTGTCTCTCCTCAGAGTAAAATATGCAGGAACCAACATTAAGTGGCGCATCCTCCCCGCCCCCCTTTTTTCCCGGGAATTGGGCCTCTGATGTTCCGGGGGGAGCGCCCATTCAAGGGTCGGCCCGCACAGGCCGCGGGAGCCGCGCCTGTTTATGGCGCATGTAAAACAGCACAAATCTCGCCGAATGTGACGGTGTCATTAGTCTGGGAGTCGCATCCTTGAAAATAACTGTGGAGGAGCCAAATCAGTTTAAAAGAAGATAACAAAATGGTTTAAGCGACTTAGGTTGAATGCCAATT